CATGCAAACGAGTGCAGCAACGCACACATACTGGTTGGCGGTTTATCTGGTACTGAATTCTGTCAACTATCTAATTTTCTTTTAAACACTTCCACAATATTCTGAGTTGTTTTTTTAAATACCTTTTTGTAAATTATTAAAGTCTTGGTCCATTAATTGAGAAACTTTGATTAAACATTTTTCATAATCAGGCAGTTTGAACAAGTATAACAAAGATATACTACGTTCTTCGCAGTCTGGGGGAGTATTTTACCTTGTTGCTCCATCTTCTAACTCTCTTGGATTTAGTTCTAAGTACTTCCTTCCGTCTTTGTAAAGAGAAAAAAGTTTATTGAGATGTTTTAGGCTTCCCCAATACCTAAGACTTATCATGTTGTTTAATTTTCGTGTGAAAACATTTTGAACCTGTTTCTAGCAACATTATCTTTTATACGAATTGGATTTCATACTAGGTACAGATATTCCAATCTTTGAATCCCTAGTGTTTTCCATGATGGTAGAAAGTGTACTGGATCTCTTGTCTGAAAAGTTCTCATCACCCATCCAATCACATATTTTCATCCGTTACGGCCTGATCAATGTGTTGACTGAAACTCATATAATTTACTTTTGAACAGGCCTATCTCTTTTACAACTACCTTTTGTTTAATCTCTATCCCCTCGACAGAATATGATATTGGTCTTGGACTTCCAGTTGGACTACATCTTAGGATTTCAAATTTATCAACATTGAATGTCATATTGTTTTCAGTTCCTCATTTACAAATGGCATGCAGGTCCTCTCTCAGTTTGTCTTCGCCCTCTATTGAACTTAATGGTGTACTTGTCCTAATATGAACAACATATTACGCTGGAGTATTTAACATCTGCATTAATGTTCGCAATCATAATAAGGAACAACAGGGCCTCCCATAACTGAGCCTTGTGGTAGTCCACTTCTAACAGCTGATTCGTCAGAATGATATCCAATGATTACCTTTTGCTTGCGATTCGTTATAGGAAATCATTTATCCACATTCCTACTTTTTCTCTGAGTCCAAAGTCCTTTAGCTTACAGAGTAGAGTTCCATGGTCGACTTTTTCGAAACATGTACATCATCTTTATTCTCAGTTACGTCTCTTAGTGTATGTTCACAGTGGTTCAGGATTTGAGATAGACAGGATTTGCCCTTTCTCGTGCCATGTTGTCCAGGGTTTATGTTGTTTTCTTGTTCTGGGTACTGGACATTTTTACCACCCCTTCACATATTTTTATTACGTGAGATCTTAGTGTAACTAGTCTGCATTTTTTTTCCTGGCTCTTTTTCTCCCTTATAGATGGGAATTATAATTTCCTCTTTCAGTGGGCTTGGAATGATTTCCATATTTACGTATTTCCTCTAAAGTTTTATCAAGAGCTCAGCAATAGCTTCTTTACAGTAAAAAAGGGAATTTCATCTTGTCCAGTGATAAATTTGTTGCAGTCCTTTTCACTGGAAATTATATAGCAAAACTGCGTCTTATTGCAATCAGCTCTGAAATGTTGGTGAGGGTCTGCAATCATTGCGTCTGTGTTAGGTACACTAAATATATATATATATATATATATATATATATATATATATATATATATATTATATATATATATAACACACACACACACACACACACACACACACACACACACACACACACCACACACAACACACACACACACACACACACACACACACACACGCTCACTCACTCACACTCACAGAGACACATGCTCGCGCATAAACTGATCGAATTTACATCGATTTACATCTTTCAGTATCACAGACTGAATAAAGTATATATATCATTGATTAATATTCAAGCCTCCTCAGAGCAAGTTGCAATACAGACCTTATTCATTGACCGCAGTAAATGGTCATCAGTCTTTAGTTCATTCGCTGCCTGAATTACTCATGAGTTCATACCCGAATCGATCCATGTGTCGTTAATTAAAAAAAAAAAAAAAAAAAAAAAATGATGCTAGAGGTTTCCTTGGCGGGAATACGCTCCGCATCTGCGTTTGGGAGTAGGACAGAAGAATGGGCATTGTAGCCGTTTTAATGGGATAAAATGGCAGATAATAAAGCATTTCTTATATAAATATCTCCCTATTAAAAAAGAAAGAAAAAAAGAAAATAGTAATAATAAATAAATAAAATTATATAAAATTTGTATTTGCCGGAAATCATCCTCCAGATAATTACAGCGCCATTTCTCATCTTTGTGTTTTTACTAAGCATGTCAAAGATGGGGATTTAGGCGCGTACTTAAATAAGCTATTCCAGTGATACAAACGCTATTCAGGGTCATCAAAATGGTTTACAAAGGCTCCAATATACGGTCGTTTTTTCACCAATTTGAGGAAAATCTCCACAGGCACTCCCTTTCATGCTAATTAATGACCATGGATTTTGCTTTTTTTTTCACCCCAACTTTTACCTTGCGGTGAGTATGATTACCTCATTTTCCCCTTTTCTTTTTCCTCTTATCCTAGAGTGGAAGCGCCGGGCTGATCAATACCCGTATCCAACTCTTGCAACGAGTAACAAAGACCATGAGTCTTCCCTAGTCAGTTAAATCCAACGTAAACGTCTTGCAAGTGAAGGTTGTGAGCTAAGCTTTAACTGACCTTAAATCATAGCACCCACCTTATTAACAAATTTGAACGGTAAAATTTGAAGGACATGCACAAACAAATTTCGTTTCCAGAACAACTCTTGGGAAACTTTAACGGTCATCTTTGGGGATACGTTTGGTGCAGCTCCCAAGGAGAAGAGTTGGACTGGCAATTCCTGAAAAGAGGTACTGCGACGCTTAACAATGGCTCTCCCAAACTAGAAACTTTCTCCTAATTTTATTTGACTATATATTCGTCCATTATCGAATTAAACTTGATGTAGCAGATTATGGGAGCCTTAATATGGAAGTGACTACTAACTTGTTCCTGAAGTCGTGCTGAAAAGTTCTAGAATGTGCAAGAAGCCCCTGACCACCTGATGTACGGAGCCCATCCAATCGCCGCTCAACTTCACTCAAAAATACTGGAAAATACTGCAGATCTCCAGTGCCATGGAGGTCCAAGAAATACCAGCAGGCTATCAGAGCCAGAAGTCTGCAGTAAGTCAACCATAGTCCATTTGAAGAGATTATGAGCTAAGGCCAGGCTGGTCCTAAAGGAGGCCAAACTTCATGGAGATAGTACGTGTGAACAGCACACGTCAGTTTAACTTCCTTGTGGGGCAAGTAAAGTGAAGGAAAAGGTACGAAATCTGGCGAAACGCGCACAGATTGATCAAAACGACTGAAAAAAGAACCTCTCTCTCTCTCTCTCTCTCTCTCTCTCTCTCTCTCTCTCTCTCTCTCTCTCTCTCTCTCTCTCTCTCTCTCTCTCTCTCTCTCTCTCTCTCTCTCTGTGTCTCTCTCTCTCTCTCTCTGTGTGTGTGTGTGTGTGTGTGTGTGTGTATGTATGTGTGTTTCCAATTCGTGTTTCAAAGGGACACCAGGCACGGGCAAGGGCACACCACACAGTATTTCTCTTTAGCTTCCTATTCAGAGGCAAGTCACAACCTCCCTTGAGATTTGAAGAAAGGTACATTTTACACGTGTCTTCAGAAACATTATTTTAAAATGACATTAGCAGAGAGTGCCAATCCTACTTCTGCGGCGTGATGGAGACCCAAGCCTCTTTGCTGGGATTGTGACGCTTAGCCTGGCCTGGTGATCCTGGGTTTGAACTTGTTAGTGTTTGATGATTGCTTTTGTGATCATTATTTAATAATTTCGACTTTAGAAAAAAAAAAACATGTTACATCTTCGGCCAGAGAACGAGAGAGAGTGGGGAAGAAGTGAATTGGTGGAAATTGTGGTAAAGTTGACGATAAAGAATGAGAGAGAGAGAGAGAGAGAGAAAATGACTGACTGACAGAATGACTGACTGATAGACAGACAGACAGATAGACAGGCAGACAAACTGACACAGATCAATTCATAGAAAACGAAAAAAGAAACTTTGGTATAACTAATGTAAATCGCACCAATAACTATATATTTGTAAATCACTTTGTATCCAATACATCAATTCTACTTCTTTAATTCATTTTTTCCATAAAAAGGGGGAGGGGAAGTTGATAACAAGGGGTGTGTGGAAAAAGTCTATAAAGCATGGCAATGTGAAGGAGTAGAAGAAGAAAAATAAAAATAAAAAGAAGATGAAGAAGAAGATAAGAAGGAGAAGGAGAAGAGAAAATGAAGTAGAAAAGGAAGAGAAAGGATAAGGAGGAGGAGGAGGTGGAAGAGGAGGTGGTGGTGGTGGCTGAGGAAGAGATGATACTGATGATGAAGAAGAAAAAGAAGAGAAAAAGAAGAAGAGGGGGAATTGAAAATGAAGGAGAAAAGGAAAAAGAAGGATAAGTATGAGGAGGAGAAGAAGAAGAAGGAGAAGAAGAGAAAGAAAGAAGAAGAAAGAAGGAGAAGATGAAGAAAATGAAGGATAAGAAGAAAAGGAAGAAGACAGAGAAGAAGAAGTAGAGGAAGAAGAAGAAAAAGAAGAGGAAGAAGACGTATATATATATATATATATATATATATATATATATATATATATATATATATATATATATATATATATATATATAATATATATATATATATATATATATATAATATATATATATATATATATATATATTTTTTTTTTCTTATTTATTTATTTATTTTTATATATGTATATATTTGTATATATATGTATTTATATGTATATATATTTATATGTAATATTATTTATATGTAAATATATTTGTAAATATCTATCTATCTATCTATCTATCATTTCTCTATACATACATGTATACATACATATGTATTATATATATATATATATATATATATATATATATATATATATATATATATATATATATATATATATAGTAAGACTTGTGTGACTATATCAGCTTATGGCAATTGAGGAATATAAAACTCACTACAAAGGAATTCATAAAAATATATTTGTATAGTATTAATACATTCAAGTTATTTCTGACTGTTTGCTTACGTGAAACTTAACATTCATTCTTGGTCACATATAGGAATGTAAAGTACATACAAGAAAATCAAACTTCAACAAAAATATTTCTTAAAAAAAGACAGCTATATATATCTGACATGCTCAAAATGAATACAGATAACATAATTACAAAATATGATTACCATATTTTACAATGAGCCAGTGACAGACAGAAGATAATTTAAAAGTATACACTTCTGCTGAAATAAATCAAATGAAGCACAAACACCTGATGGATGGATAAAATCAACTGACATTCAGAGGCAGACCACACTCCTCTTAAGATACAACCAAAAGAGATACTAAAAGTCAAGTCAAGTCAGATATTTGATGAAATTGGCACAGTTTTATAGAATCTCTCACCCTAGTTTAGAATTCTCCACCAAAGGCCATGCGAAGGTATCGTCGATACAGCTCTTTATCTACAGCAGTCATGATTATGACATTGTTTTTCCTTTTCAATCTATTATCATGGTCAAGTACCAATTGGCCTCGTGTATGACTTCCCTGAAAAGTAATGATAGAAATACAATATAGGTCAAAAACACAATGTGCTTTCAAAAATATCTGAAGTACATATTACATTTATACATTGGTGAATAGTATGCCTGGATATAAAAACATGTAGTTATTTCCTTCATTTACATGAATTCAGTCTACACTTTATTCATTAAGGCTAAATACCACTTACAAGATCAGATTATGAAATACAACAAAATCAAGGCTGGTAACTTTATGATGCTTTATAAGCAAAAATTGTGGTATAAATGCATTTGGAGTGGTTTGAAGATTCAGCATCTTTTATAATTATTGATCATTTAACCCTTATTTGAGTTTAAACCATGAGTCTCAGAACTGCTACTGCAGTCATCAAAATTTATTTATTACTTCTTAAATGACTATTCTGTGTTTTGTGCAGGTAAGTCACTGTTGCATTTCATAATAGTCTAGTTTTGTTTATATTTTTCCACATTGATATATATATATATATATATATATATATATATATATATATAATATATATATATATATTATATAATATATATATATATATATATATATATATATATATATATATATATATATATAATATATATATATATATATATATATATATATATATATAATATATATATATATATATATATATATATATATATATATATATATATATATACATATATATATATATATATATATATATATATATATATATATATATATATATACATATACATATATATATATTATATATATATATATATATATATATATATATATATATATATATATATATATATATACACATACTAACAGTAAAATTAAAATAACTATTACACGTCAAGCTGAGTTTTCAATAAAATGGCTCAGCAAAATCTAATCAGTTTTATCAAATAAATCTGTGGTTTACTCTTATACAGTTTTTCTGAATATTCTCTCAAATACTTACATTAAGTTCTATTGTTGCAAAACATTTCTTAGATGCTGTCAGTAAGCTAGATGCACCAACACCAGTAGGCTCTTTCTCAATTCGAATGGGAACTGTAATATAAAATCTGTATCACAAATTGGAAATAAAAAGCAACTATATATCTGTAGATAAATTTTTGCACTTGCTTTCCCAATGTTGCATCTCTTCATAATTTTGTTTGAAGACTTCTTTCTCTTGTCTAACAAAACATTATCTTTGGCCTTTGCATGTAATTCATGCAATAAGAAAAAAAAAAAAAGTGCAAAAGGAAGGAGGAGAGGACACAAGTGGGTTTAAAGAGATGACCCCACTCCAAAATGAACAAGGGCAGGATCCAACTTCTGCCCCCCACTCCCCAACTTTTGAAAACATTCTCTGTAAATAAACAGTGGAATTCTGGGAGGGCAGCTACAGCTGAGTCTGGTGTTCAACATGAAAAAACTATTATGTCAAGTTTTATCTAAATAAAAATGTCTGAGATTTTAGTGCAGAAATCAATGAGTTCTCTTTAAAACTGCTAAAATCCATGAGCTTTGCCACAGGTCCCTCACCAGGGGCACTGCCCCATGACTTAGTGCTTGCCGAGCCAACTATGTGGAAACAAGATTCTTAAAAGAAAGCTACAGTTGACAGTACATATATCTAGCAGCAATTGGTATAGAGTCATGTGTTTTTAGTATGTCCTATTTATCAGCAGTCGCTCCAGTATTGTATACGTATTTACATATTACAATTTAGTCTTGAATGTTTTACTCTTCATTTCAGATCCATATCCCCTCAGATTGACTGCCCGGGGGAACACTGCACTATATAAGATCTTTAAACATGTAACCAATGGCCTGGTAATGTAATGTCCGGGGTAACCACTAACATGTAATGGATAAATTTATTCTTGTTTTACAAATAATTGGGGTTACCATCAATCATTATATCTTTAGAACTCATGGAC